CACTATTACGGAGAACAAAACTGGCTCCGGATCAGATTCTGAATAATCGAACAAGAGTATGCTCCACTTAATAATAAGATTTCTCCTTGTAGCCTATGAATAACGTGTTGATGGGTCTGCTGAAGTTTGGCTGAAGTGGCCGGAGATGGATCGAGCTGTTTCCCGTTTCGCCCAGGCCAGGCAAGAGAACTTACGCACAACTCAAGTAAGCTCTTTCATCACACTCACGATGCAGCTGAGCAAACGAAAGATAAAAATTTCATTAAAAGAAATCAAGTCTCAAATCTGAATTAATTTTTAAAATGTTTGTTAATTTCTGTTTGTGCGTTGTGTTTTCGTGTTATTTATGATTTTAGTTTTGTTTGCTTGTCGGTTGGTTTCTTGATTGCTCCTTTTGTAGGCGTTGTTTGCTTTTACTGTTGTTTGTGTTTATTTGTTCGTTGTTGTTTTGCTGTTTTTTGTTCTTGTAGTGTTGTTTTGCTGTTTTTTGTTCTTGTAGTGTTGTTTGTTTTTACTGTTTTGGTTTTGCTCTTCTGTTTGTTCATTTGTTTTGTTTTTGTTGTTGTTTCATTTTGTAGGTGTTGTTTGTTTTTACTGTTCTTGTTTTGTCTTGTTCTTTTTGTTTGCTGTTGTTTTGTTTTTGAACTTTTGAATTGTCATTATTTTAATTTTCTTTTGGTGGGCATACCACGTCTCCAAAGTGTAGAACACTGAAGCCGAAAGCAAATTTGCTGTCTGTAGGCTAGGTATTAGGGTAAGATATCAATATAATGTTACCGATGTTGAATTTTGTTTTAATTCAATAAGAGTTGGCATGTGTGTTCCGCCCCCTTTCAACCAGCTTTTATGCAGGTACATGTACTAGAAGGCTACCCAACACAAGCGTACATGTATTTCACGTCCAGCAAAAGCAAAGTACCATAGACAAAGAGCTTTGTTCCCCGCCAAACGTAACACACTCGCATTTCTCGTTTGGCTTCCACAGAACTGTGAGTCAGCTTGGGAATTCTGTTCTTTGTGTTGCAATTTTTTTTTGTTCTAAACGTGACAGCTTTAATAGTAATCGGGTGATGGGGAAGTTGGGGGAAATCGTTGTGCGTAGTTTTCTCTCGGCATCGGACGTATGTAGGGTGGCTTCGTAATGGGTGATACATCGTTCTCGCCAAGTGAAGTCGATGCATGGCTGAGGAATGCAAGTGATAGTACTGATGATGCTGGCGGTGGTAGTAGTTATAGTAGTGATAGTTGGTGGTAGAGATGGTGATGGTGGTTGTTGTAGTAGTAGTAGTAGTAGTAGTAGTAGTAGTAGTAGTAGTAGTAGTAGTAGTAGTAGTAACAGTTGGTTTGTTGTTGTTGTTGTTATTGTTGTCGTTGTTGTTGTGGTGGTAGTGGTGATTTTGGTAGTTGTACTTATAGTAGTAGTAAGTAGTTGGTGGTGGTGGTGGTGGTCTTCATCGTCATTTATGACGAATCGGCGTAGCTTCAGCCATGTAAGATGGTTCCTCGAATACTGAAAAGAAAAAGAACTGTAGCAGACCACACAAAAATCACCCCAACCATTATTAAGATCAATCATATTTTAAAATTTGCAGACTTCATTTGATCGTGACAGAGCAAGGTAAAAGCGACAGCAGATGGTCACAGATATAAGACGTTCGTGAGCAACTAATAAAAATCTTTGAAAAGATGACTCTCAAATGCATGTCGCCTTAACATCTTAGCCTTCAATTCGTTCGGTCCATCAGTGTGTGTGAAACATGGCT